TCTTCTTCGTCTAACCCCACCTCCTTCGTCTGTGTATGGTTGGGGCTGGCGCAATCTTCTTGTGTGAAGCGCCAGACCCCTTCACACCATGATGATGATGATGTATGTTCGGGGCTGCATTGCAATATTGATTGTTCGGATCATTGGTATCTAAGTCTTCCGCTGTGCTATCTTATACTTTGTATCGAAGGGTCGGTTCTTGTTCTGGTCTGCACCTATATGGTATGCAACATTGGTGTTGTTGCACCAGTAGCAGCAGCCATATGGCCCATACCGGTTGTGTCACTTGTATTCGGCCTCGATCAAGCTAAACTTAACCCATGGTACTGGTTGTCCGTTTCTGGCCGACGATGCAGTTTTCGCCTCCCCTTTTCCACGGGAGTTGTTGTTGCTTCACGGCTGAACGGCGGCCACCTGATCTCCCTCACGTGATGCTGGGGTGACTGTCGGGTCTTCCACAAGGTTGTCCGGTTGGACTGCAGCGACGGGCTGCGGACACAGACCAAAATTTCCTTTCTCCACATGGGCTGGCTGCCACGTGGATTTCTCGGGTGCAGCAGCCCGGTTGGTCTTGATGATCTCACGAGCCTTGTCAATGATTTCGGGGAAGGTCGTGTATTGTTCGCGATCACCGAGTGCGAGGCTCAAGGCGGCACACGACCGATTGTAGAACTCCCGACGCAAATGCGAAAATGGCAAGTCAAGATCGGGTGTTGCCACGATCGTTTGCCATTCCGTGAGCCAGTCGCATGTCGGTGTGGTGCCTTGAGTCATGGCGAAGAGGCGGTTGATGGCGAGTGTCGGGGTGTCGTCAACAATGAACCGCTTCTTCCATTCCTTCGTCAGATTTTCCCAAGAGATCTTTTTGTGCAGGTTGGCGACCTGGACACCGTGGATGGTTGCCATGTGGATGAGCCAGATCTGGCATCCGTCCTTGGCGTTGAGGAACAACGCCGAGATGTACAAGTGATTGGAGTCTTGATTAATCCGAAGCTCCGTCGTAAAGCCCTGCCACCAGGTGACCGGGTCCTGATGCGTATAGTCATCAAACTTTTCGGTCCGGAACGTCGGCATCTTGTACTGCCGGGATGCACTGGTGCTGCCATCGTTGTCGGGCAGCTGGTCGAACCTCGTTCTTCAAGGTGTCGAGCTGCTCGTTGATGGAGGCTGGTGCGGCGAAGGTGATGATGTCGCCGAGCATCGCTAGTACATGGTCAAGTCATCGCTCCAACTGGCGGGTTGAGGCTGCATTGTCGGGTTCACCAGCATCTGGTCTTGGTGCTGCTTGCTCCAAGTCCTGTACACGGGTATGAAGTGCCCGTGTGGCATCGTCGTGCAGGTCCTTAGGGCTCCGCACTGCCTGTCGGAGCTTCTCCAGTTCTTGGTGCTGTTTCTCTAACTCGGACTGCAGGTGGTACAAGTGCAAACCAACCAGGTCACAAGTTTGGAGAAAAACTCCTTGTGCTGCCCTTCCGGTGTTGCGTTGTCGTGGCCCTCGGATGGTTCAAAGTGCCAGAACTTGAGCCTGTTGACGCTGGTGGCTTCGTGCCACTGCACCAGATCTTGGGCCAGCCTGCAGCGGGCCTGGGCATCTGTGTCAGCTACAGCCTGAAGCCGCTGCCTCCGCTTCAGCCTGTAGGCGGGCAGCCTCGGCTGCCGCCTGGCGCTGTTCCTCAGCCTCGATTTGTCTGAGCTGATCTTGGATCCGCTGTCGGAACTCGGCAATGGACTCGCTGGCCAGTTGGCCTGGCATGCCCAAAACTGAAATCGTCATGGTGGCGGGGCACTGCTAACGTGTAACTGCTGCTGACGTGGCACTTACCAAACCGGGAACGCAAGCAAAGGAGTGGGCGGGAGGGAAACACAGGAAGATAACCAAACTGCACTTTCCATTCCCGGTCCTAATCAACAGAACAACATAAAAAAATAAAAAA